ATACACAATGATTTGAGTTAAATACACAATGGTTTGAGTTAATTACACAATATTACTTATATAGTATTATTGTATAATACTGTTCTGGCTTACGTACAAATTCAACTTAAGGTTAGACCTTGGGAACAGAACCCGTTCTTAAACTGGGGACTACCTGTATTGAAATGGGGGGGAAAAAACCCCCAAAACTATCACTTTTAACATAATTGCACCCCTGGCCAAGTTAAATTGTTAGAAAATTTGAGGAATGTTCTTTGCTACCCAGACAGTTCTTATCTGAAACGACTGTGACCTCTAGTGGCAGTTTATGGAATGAGATTTCAGTTGACTACTGATTAATAATTGATTATTCCTTTGATATACAACAGCAACTTTTAGAGCCCAGCTGCCCATAAAGTTTAATGGAGTATCTGTGTGACTGTGACGATGACTGTGGATGAAGGGAGCAAAGGTTCCCTTCCATATTGCTAGTGATCTGATTTTAAATAAGTTCTGTGATCTTCAGAGAGGAAAAATGGGTACCTGATTGTTCTTAGGGGATTAACAGCAGCTTTGGGGAGGTTGTTTACAGTGAGCAAACAATGCAGGGAAAGGATTTAGAGTCCCTTCAGAGAAAACTCTAGTTCACCCATTCTGCTGACTGGAGCAAGAAGTTATTACATTTTTGAGGCCTTGTTTGTCATATCACATTGTTGGAGTTCTCTGAGCTTGGTATCCAGGTTCTAGATGTTTCATTACCCTACTGCGTAACATCGTCAGTACACGAGTTTTGGAGATGTGAGGTGCATTGATTGGCTGGGATTATGTATCCTTTTGTTGTGCATGGTTTGCACGAGCTTTGATGGGATGGTCCTGTGGGTGGGTGCTGTATTGCTAGTGATTGGTGCCTCCTTCATTTGGTTGATGAAGTGATGGTTCTGTCTTATCTTCGGTATGATTGGAGGGGTTAGTTGTTTGTTAGTTGTGAAAAATTGTTTCAGTGGAACGCTGCAATTTGTCACTTTTCCTTGGCTAAAGGAGATGGGAGACAATAACCAGTTCTGTTGGAGAAATCTCTTCTCTTGCATCAACCTTCTGAGGATTCTCAACAAATTGACCAAGTGGAAACATTCTAGGACAATGGTAAGTCACCTGTCCTTCCCAACTTTGACTGGGAATGCTAGGAGATGTAGGCCAATGTGCCCAAGGGCACCAAGTTGGAAAGGATGGTCTTTATTAATGGCTTGGGGGAAGAAAAAAAATAGAGAG